AAACCAGGCTTGAAACAACAACAACAACAACTACAACCAAATCAAACCAAAAGAAAAAAAAATCGACATCATTATTATCAATAACATGGCAAAATTTTTTTATTTTTCTGTACAAAATCAAATGCAACAACAACACAAACAACAACAAATTTCATTTCACCATGGTGTGTGGTCCATGATCATGATGATGATCATCATCATATCACCATCATATAAATATACAGTGAATCACACACACACACACAGTCGATCGACTATGAATTGTTTTTACAAGACAAGACAAGATTCGAGTTTGTTTTTTTGCTTAAATTTGTGGTATTTTCGCTGTTGGTTCGTTGGTTGATTGGTTATGGATTACGATTTATTTCCATGATGATGATGATGCTGTTATGTATGCAATATGTGATTGAATTCATCATCATCAGCAACAACAACAACAACCGAGAGAGAGAGAGAGAAAGAAAAAAAAGGACCACCATCAAACCAACCGCCCAACAATAATAATAAAAAAAAAAAAAGAATTGAAAAATCCAAAAAAAAGAATTAACATTACACATATAAATCAGGCAATTTATATAGAGGAAAATTTGCAGACGAAAAAAAAATCCATCGAAATTGAAATGAAATCATCATCATCATCATATAATAATCAAAAGCTGATCATCACCATCATCGAATGTCGATTTTTATCAAAATTGGATTCTATCATCATCATTGGATTGAATTGAATTTGAATTGAATTGAATTAAAATGATGAAAAAACGAAAAAAAAAATTTCGTTATCATGATTTTTTTTCTGGATGAAAAAAAAGCAATGAAAAAAAAATTATTACCACACGACGATCATGGTCAATGTGCTGGCTTACTGACTAGCTGACTAGCTGGCTGGTGGCTAGCCATGATCGTCGTTGGTGGCCCATCAAATGTACTCATTATCATCATCATCAACATCATCATCATCATCATGGTCATAACGTGTTGTTGTAAATTTGATGATGATGATGCTGGAGAAATTTCAATCAAATTCAAAGATTTCATTGAGTCTAGAATATTCCTATAATTAAACAGAACTCGGAATATGAAAAACAATGGAAACAAACAAACACACAGAGATTATTTCTATCTCTCGTTCTCGAAAAAAAAATTATGATCATAACATATTCATGTCATTTTAATTCATTTTTTTCAAATTGGTCCCTATGGCGAAACAAATGTTGTCACCACCACCATCACCATATTACCACCAACGATGAATATGACGACTGGCGACAATGATGATAAACGATAGTGGGGACCACGACGAAGATGACGATGACATTTTTTTTTGCATGTCGTCGTCGTCGTCGTTGATTTCAATCTCAAATTTTTGTTTCGATCGAAAGGATTGACTTTTTAACAAAAAAACAATGAGCAATTTGAGCGTGTGTTTGCTCGAGAGCGAAACGTCGTAAATTAATTTCAAATGAAAAATGAAAAAAAAACAGACCCCGAAGACAAAAAAAATTAGAAGAGAAGCCAAGTCAATTTTTGTTGACAATTTTTTTTCGTTTGTTTCTTGAAAATTTTTCTAAAAAAAATCACACACACAGCACACAGAGAGTGAAATTGAAAGAAAACCATTTCAATTTTTGTCATATATACCCCCAAAGTAGTCAAAGGCAAATTTTGCCGCCGCGACACCACCATCATTTCTAGCAATTGTTTTTTTCTACTCTATATGATCATAGAGTTGAAAAAAAATCACTGGACCCTATAGAATGATTGTGAATGAGGAAAAGTCAAAAGTCAAAAAAACCCAAAACAGAAAAAATTCATTCATTCAAAAAACAATTGATATTCACGAAATACGACAGGAAATACAGATAGATTAACCATTGTTTTGTTGTTGTTGTTGTAGTTGGTAATGATTTTGTCATTGATCATCAAATGTCTGTCTGTGTGTGTGTGTGTGGGTTCGATCAATCAACCGAATCGATCGAATCGATTAAAAATCGACCACCAAAGTATTATGAATTTTCAAAATCATATAATTTACAGTCATGCACGGTTTTCATATATGAAAATTGAGAAATATTCCAGAAAAACATACAAAAAAAAGTTTGAGAAACATTGAAAAAAAAATAAAGTTTATACTTGATTTATTGAATAAATAAATCTTTTTTTTTCCAAAAAAATGCCCTTCAACAGGCATGTTGTTACCATCATCATCATCATCATCATCATCCAAAATGATAAATTATTAGTTTTTTTAGAAAAAAAACTTTCGATAAGAGATTTTTTCATCAAAAAAAGAAATATACAAGCAAAACAGCAATTTCAGGTTCCTCAAAACTATTTCATTTATCTCTCTCTTTGGATCAACAAAACCAAGATATATACCATCGACTACTACTATTACCAAAAGAGATGTTGATCGTGATATGAAATGACCATATTGATAACCTATATGGTGATGATGATTACCAACGACATCATCATTTTTCATTCATTCAACACCATCATCATCATCATCAAAAATTAAATTAAATTCATCATCATTTTTTCTCTGGTTTCATCATTATGTGATTTGAAACAAACGAAAAATTTCTCATTTTTCTTTTGCAAAAAAAACAACCATCAAGTTCTATTGTAAAAATTTTTTTTTTCATTTTCAAACCAAAAAAAACCACCACCACCACTTTTCTAATCTCAACAACCAACAAACCAAACAAATGACCTGTTAAATGATCAATAAAATGGATAGATAAAATGTGAGATAATCAAATCAAAAAAAAAGAAGAAAAATCTTTAGAAATCCAATCTAAATTGAATGAAAAATATGGCGGATAAGAGAAAAAAAAACTTTGATTTATATTCTATTGATAAGAGTTGAGGTTGCTGCATTTTTTTTTATATATCTGAATTGTTGGCTGGACCAAGACACACAGAGAGAGAAAGAGAAAAATAGAACAATCCAAACAAAAAAATTGACATAAAATAATGAAAAATGAAATAAAATAAATAAAAAAAAAAATTCAAATAACAATAATGAAAAACACCGACTACCACCACCACCACCATTACCACTACACATAATCTTCTTTTCTTCAATTCAATTCGTTGGTTTTTTTATGGAAAAATAAAAAATCTTTTACCCCAGACTCGTTCACCATCACAATCATCATCATCATCATCATCATCATCATCGGTCAAAGGTAAAATCGATTGTTGTTAGCTTTTCCGAAGGTAAAATAAAACGTAAAAAAGCGCAACAGGTCCCGAGAAACGAAAAAAAATTTTGTTTTTATTATTACATTTCGGGTACACATACATTTAATATATAGGTAATCGGATGACACACACACACACACACACTGGGGATAAAAAAATCTTTTTTTTTACCAAGAAAAAAAAAATACTAAAATTCCAAATAGTGAAGAAATGCCGGCGGAATGCTTTGATCCAACCAACCATCCATCTATCTATCTATCTATCTATCCATTCAATCCAAAATGAAAAAAAAAAAAAATTTCCAATGAATCACTCAAACAACAAGAAAGTAAAAAAGATGTGTCACACAAAAACATACAAGTGTCATTTTAGATTTTTTTTTCTTGTTGAAATTTGATCCAACAAGTTGCAAAAAAAAATTCAAAGAGAAATTTTTCAGAAAAAAAGTCAAATAAATTCATGAGAAACATACACACACACGGTTGTTGAATCATCATCTTGAGAATGTATTCATTCAGCCAAATAATAGCCATTTACTTTTTAAATGAATGGAATTTTTGTTTTTCTGTTTTGATAATTCAAATAATATAAGAACAACAAAAACAAAAGGAAAATCCTGTGATGATGATGATGATAGCTTGGTATTTTTTTCAAACAATAAGAACAACAGAAAAAAACACCCATTCACCCTGAACAACAACAACAACAACAACAATCACAAAGCTCACCAAAGGAGAAATTTTTGTTTTCCAGTTTGAATTTCGTGCCATTTCAAAAATATAATCACCCTACGTATACTCATGATGATGATGATGATGGAAATTAAGTCATCAGAAAGACAACAACAACAGGAACCTCTAAACCCAGGTGGTAGTACTACCCTACAATTATCATCGATCATCATCATCATCATTGTCTTGATATCATTTCAGGATAGCAAAAAAAAGGGAAAATTATACCATCATCATCATCATCAACAACACAGGGTTCGTATTCATCAATATATTATCATTATTGTCTAGTGGTGATTATAATCGTGTGGTAAAAATGGTGATCATGTAATCACGATCTTCATCATCATCATCATCATGATACACCAAACAAACACACACAAATATATAAAATCCGCCCAAACGAAATTTTCAAAATATTAAATGTCTTAATTTTGTAAAACTTGAATTCTTCATTTTTCAAAAAAAAACATTAGGTGTGTGTGTGTTTGTGTATGATTGACACGCGTCTTCAAGAAAATTTTCGTTTTTTCAATTCAAAAAACGAAACACTATGTGTGTAGGAATATATAATGCATTCATTCATCAGTGGAATAAATTCAGTAGATTTTTTTTTCATTACTCGGGCGCCCAAAAAAAAAATCATTTGGTCGATCATCAAGGGTGATGGGTTTTTTTTGCAGTTGTTGGCGCCCACCTATATGTGATGTAGAAATCACCTTTTTCATATGAACTAAAAAAAACTAATCAGAATAAAAATGTAGATCAAAAGATTGATAAAATCATCTTTGCCATTTCATTTTCATCATTCATGCTGGGCCACAATTTATCATCATCATCATCATCAACAAAAAACCATCAGGTTTAACAACAAAGAAAGAAAGAAAAAAATAATACCCTGATGCAAAAGAAAAGAATGATGGATTGATGATGATGAACAATAAACAAAAATGGAAAAAAATGGTCAAAGAACTGATGTTATGTGTGTGCACTTGCTTGTTTGCTTGCCATCAAACCAAAAAGAAAAAAAAATGAAGAAAGAAAAAGAAAGAAACTTACCTAATAAAGACATTTCATCTTTCATCTTTTTTGTTCGTTCATTGAAAGGGAACACTACGATGATGAACGTTTTTGAATGCAGAAACGTGATGATCATCAAAAGGTTGTTTTGTTGTTGTTGTTGATCGTTGAGGTATCCCATCACACATTACATCATCATCACCCAGTCATTAGGAATGGATCGGAATTTCATTTGTTTATCATAATGATAATGATGATGGTGATGGTGATGATGATCAAATCCGGCTTACAAAACACAAGAGGATTTTTTTTTTTTGCTTTTTAAATCGGCAAAAAAAAAAATCAAATCAAGTTGAATGATCAAGATAATGATGTACGGGTTATGATTATAATGATTCGAGGAATCGATTGATTGTTAATGATGATCATCAATTGGCAAACACACACACACACACACACACACACACACGAGCACCCAAAATGGTTGATGGCCTCAAGCCATTAATTGACGAATCATTCGAACGAAAAAAAAAAATTCGAATCGAATTCGTATACAAACAACAACAATCGATACATCGATCGAATGTTTGTTTTGTTTCGTTCGCTAAACAAAAAGAAATTTTTCTTTTTTGTATGTCCTTTTTTTTGACGCCCGGGTGCTAAATGTAAATATTTACCGATCAAAAAAAATTTCATTTCATTTTTTTTTTTTTTTGTTTGTTTGTTAGGGTTCCGAAAAGAAAATAATCAAATGAAGAAACCTTCGGACAATGATCTATTGCATCAATGCGCAGACATTGATGATGAATAACAATAGAACAACGACAATGAAATGATTCGACGAACCTACCACCTGAGACCTAAAAAGATTGTTATATTAAACAACAACAACAACAAATGAAAAAAACATCGAGGTCGTCATCAAATTCAAGATTTCAATGTCAAAGTTCAAAATAATCATCATCAGTATTTATTCAGAGGTTTGTAACATCTCTATCATCTTGAATGATTTTTTTTTTTTGTTAGAAAATTTATTCGTAGGAGGCAATTATCGTCGTCGTCGTCGTCGTCGTCGTCTTAGTCTACATATGAATCAAATCCATAAAATGGTGATCAATCATCGTTGTATATACAAGGCATTGTACAAAATAAGCTGGCCAACCATTATTATCATCATCATCATCATCATCGATGGTCCTTCATCACAAGTATTTGGCCTGATTTTTTTCCACTCTCAAATTTGCATTCGAAAAAATGGAAAAAAAATCCCGGAATCTTATCAATTTCCGTTTCGATGTGGACCTTTATTATTATTCAAATAGAAAAAAAAACATAATCTTTATTCATCATCATCATCAAGGATATATATGATTATTATTCAAATTGACCAAATCAAAAACAAAACGAAATTCATTGCATAATAATGGGCATCATCATCATCAGTAGCATCATCATCATCATATCGATGAAGAAAAAAAAAAATCATCATTCAAATCAAAGTTGAACGATCGGTCAAACCATCAACCGTCAACCGACTATTGATCATCATCAACAAGAAATAAAATGAAAAAAAAAAGAAACGAAACGAAAGAAGCCGAAACACATCAAAAGATGTTTTCCGCCAAACGAAGAAAATGACACACGAATCGTAAATGTGAATAGAAATGGAAATGTAATGAAAAAAATTTTTTGAAAATGGAAATAAAATTGAAAATCAAATGACCAATTATGATCAGAAGAAGAAAAAAAAAATGGTCATTTTCAGTTTATTACTAATTATGATGGCTCAATAGTAATAACCGACGGTGGTCGCTACAAGACATACACGAATAAAACACAGGATTCATATCCCGACATTACCAGAAATAGGAAAAAAAACAACAACTTCATCAATGATGGTGGCCCAATGATTGGAAATTTTACCCGAACGAAAAACATTCCTTGAAGAACCGAACCTCTTAATAAACGAGACAAGATGACTACGAAAAATAAACAACCATCAAACTGTCTCATTCAATCATTGTCATCATCATCATCAATTATGCGGATTCCAGAATTTCCCGGAATGTCAATGAAATTAATAGTTGTCTAATATATCGATTGACCACCATGTCGTCATTTCCGGACCCCAAGTTAGATACCGACAATACCATAGGTAGGTGGCCTATTTAAAATTCTTTTTTTTATGTTTTTGTTATGTTGGCAAAAAAAAACACATAAACAACAAAATTAATCTTGATGATGATGATCATCTTCTTGTCTTCAGACTCAGAAATCTTAGAAATCTATCCACTTCTATGTCGCTAAATACTATAATAAGCTTAGCCAAAAAAAAAATGAAGAAATTTTCAATGTCTATGGTCATTGTGTGTGTGTGTGTCATTTTTTTTCTCTATTCTTTTTATCTGTTGCAAATTTCCTCTTCAAGTTTTCGAATCTTTGGTGATGACCATGATCAACATAATCACCATCATCATCATCATTTTATATTTTCCTTAAAGATTTTTTAGTTTTTAGATTTTTCTATTTCAAGTTTTTTTAAACATGTTTTTTAATTGAAAAAAAATGAAAAAAGCAAAAGGTGTGTGTGTGTGTGTGTATGAGCGTGTGAATGTATGGTTGATCTACCATCATCGAAACATCTCGAATAATCGTCTTTAAATCTTGGGTTTTCAGTTTTTTTTTGCGCAAAAATATAATGTTTTTATTTAGAAAATTTGTTGTTTTGGTTTCAAACCAATTCTATTTCTACACAACTACTATACATTTGTGAATAATTGGCTGAAATAATCGTCACAACAAAACAATGAAACAAAAAAAAACTTGACGATTATTGCCCACCACCAGACTTTCTATAGCCATATTCTATGTATGCATGATGAGATAGACCGGAATCATAGCCAGTTTGTTGTTGATGGTGATGATCTTTGGCCTGTTGTCCGAATCGAATCATCGTCATCATCATCATCATCATGGTTGGCTTATACAAATAAACAAAGTATCAACGAAAAAAAAAAAATGTTGATGATGGCCACAACCACGACGATCACCACCACCCCCTCTCCTCTAATACCATCACCAATGCTAAGAATTTTTTTTTCCTTTTTTCGTCTTTTTTTTGTCTTTGAATGAAATGAATGAATAGTGATAGAGACCTCACTCGAAGTTTTTTTCTTTCTCTTTTTTGTTCTCTCCAATTCAAATCATGCAAAACCCCTCAAACGACCACCACCACCATTGAATAAGACTGATATAGATTGATTGATTCACAATCTCATCTACCTTGATCGATTTTTGGTTGGTGGTGGTGGTGGTGGTGGAACAATATCGGATTTTGTTATGATGATGATGATGAAAAACCGAAATGGCCAACGAGAAATAATAAATAAATATTGGCTGAATGTCTCTATTATCTTTTTTTTTTTCTCTCTATTTTGCCTATCTAAAAATGTATCTAATCTATTTGTAGATATTGAATACTCTCTTATCGATCGATCTAATAAAATTTTCCATTCACCGACCACCTTTTGTTACCTCACACACACATTCAGTACACAGCAGGATTTACCTATCTATAGGTTTTGACCTGTGTGTGTGTGTGTGCTCAGCCACCATGATAATATGATGATGGCTAAGTTAAAGATTGGCTATTTTCAAAGTCAAAGTTGAAAGAACAAGTTGACTACCACCACCACTACTACAATTATCATCAGCAACTATAACTGAAAAAAATTTCAACTTCCACCACCACCACCACCACCACCAAAAAAAATTTTCCAGAAGAAAAAAAAATCATCATGATCAATTTGATGAATTGAATTTTTTTTTTGGGCGCGCAATTTATTCTGAATTTATGAATGTTTTTTTTTTTCGTTTTTGATTTTGAACCGAAAAAAAAAAAAAAAACAAATGAAAACGAGAGAGAGAGAGGGGCCCTTACATACTACACAACAAGGGCAATGAAATGAAATGAATGAAAAAGACATACACACACACACACACAGTAACCATCATCAATAAGTTTACAATAAAGAAAGCCAAAAAAATGGCCAAGATATTCTTGAAGAAATTTGTTCGCGATTCAAATTCAAAGCCTTATTTTTATTTTATTGATCAACCACCACACCACCACCACCACCACCCGAAAAAAACTAAACCATGAACCACCACCACTAGTCATTTACGAAATTTTTTTTTCAAATCGTTGAATATATGATCATGGTGTGTGTTAGGTTAGTGTATGGTGCACCAGGCATTTTTCATTCATTCATCTATCTATCTATTCACTCACCATTATACAAATGCAGACATTCTGGTAGAAAAAAAAAAAAAAAAAAAGAAAATTCTTGGTGTGTGGCCATTTGGTAGCACACCGAAACCCCAACCATTTCTCCTCCTTTCTCTCTCTCTCTTTTTTTTCAAAGATCAATCCAATAGATACAACAACAACAACAACAACACACACACACACTCATGCACAGACCAGAAAAAAAACGACGACAACCAATTTATGTGAAAAAAAAATGGTAAGTTCGAAGCTCGAAGTTCATCCAAAAATTATTATTCACACTATACACATCAAACACAAACATACACAAGACAGACATGATGATCTGTTTGATTTCCACTACCCTACTATGTTAATTTTCTATGATGATGATGATAATAATTGAACTATCAAAAATATTTGAATTTTTTTTTTTTTTTTGATTCCAATGATCCTGGAACAAAATAGTGAAAAAAAACGACAACAACAAACGATTTGTGCATAGAAATCTGTTGCCATCAATTTTTTCTAAATTTTTTTTCTGTATAGATGGGTGTGTGTATTGTAATGAAACATCGATGATTACACAATTTTTTTTATAGAATCAAAAAATAGAATCATTGTGTGTCTGGATTTGTTGATTTTCGAATTTATTTTTATTCTTCATTGAATTCTTCATTCAAGAATCAACAATCATCATCATCATTTTGCCGGTATATTTTTCATTTTGTTTGTGTCATGTGATTGTTTTTACTTGCTCGTTTCATCTATCACTCATAACAACGATTCGTATACACACACACATCGAAAATCATCATGGGATATCAATCGAAAATCATTTTTTTACATTGACCCATGCATTTATACCAGAAAAAAATACGAGCTACCGTTTTTTGTTTTTGTCCATTGCTTCTGCATCATCATGTTCATCATGATCATTACATTCACAAACATGAACCACAACGACAACAACAACAACAACAACTTAATTTACAGCTTGCTACGCTAGCTTGGGCTCGCTCATATTTTTTTGTTGTTTTTTTTTTGTTCGTGTGTGTTGTGTGTGTGTGCCTATAACATTTTGGCTTTAATGACTTAATTTTTTTTCCATTAGCGAGAAAAATTTGTGCCTTTGTTCCAATTGGTTAATCAACGAATGTGTTCATTGTTTTTTTTTCATCATCATCATCATTTAGTTTAAGTTTTTTCCGCATTTTTCTCTATAGATAACCAAACGACAATGAGCTTGAATAAAAAAATGTCAAATAATAATAGAACTAGAAAATGTTCATATCCATCGGATCCCGGTGGTGGTGGTGGTGGTGGTGGTGATGATGGTGATAATAATCATCGTCCATATATAATGAATCAACATAATAATTCTCATTATCAACAATATGATCCAACATCATTTATACATCCATCTTTATTATCAACAACAATGAATAATAGTACTCAACGATTAAATAATGATTCATCATCATCATCATCATCAATATGGTCATTGGCCGATTCTTGTGATAGTATTGAATCTTCAATACCTTCTCATCATCATCATCATAATATACCTTCATTATTATCATCATCAATGATCTCTAATCATCATTCATTATTGCCATTTAATTCTCAACAACATTATCATAATCATCATCATATATCACATCCATCATCGAAAACAAATCCAGCATGGATTAAAGTCAAACAATCTAGTGCCAAAAGTCCTGATATTTTAACAAGGCCATCATGGTTTGATGCAGAATTAGCATTGAATCAAATTGAAAAGGTAATTTGAATTGTATTGTATGTAATTCGAATCGATTGATGAATTTTTTTTTCGTATTTTAAGGGCAAAGCAAATGGCAATGGTACATCATTATGGTTACGTTTCATGATCCAAGCAAGATTCTTTGAATTAGGTTTATGGATACAACGGAAAGCCGGTGCCATTATGTTTATTGCATCATTAATATTGGTTGTTTGTTTAGCTGGACTTAAATCTGTTCATATTGAAGATAATGTAGAAAAACTTTGGATTGAAGGTATGTCTGTTTTCTGTCACTTGTTGCAACATAATTTTTGTTATTATTACTTGAATTCAAAAAGATGGTGGACGACTAGAAAAAGAACTACAATATGTACGTAATGTTCTTGGCGATGGTTATGGTACAACCGATCAGATAGTCATACAAACACCTAAAAATGAATATGGTACCGTTTTAAATTCATCGGCATTATTATTTCATTTGAAAGTGATGCGTACAGCTATCACTACCAGTGTTGAAATGTTTGATGCGTAAGTTTTTCTTTGTCAATTATGTTTCAATCATGAAAACAATTTTTGATCCATCATTCCTATAGGACATGGAATCTTAAAGATATTTGTTATACACCAAGTAGTCCTTACTTTGATAAACATCATCTTGATTCGGTAAGTTTTCTATCATGATTTTTATTTTCAAATGAATTTCATCTAATTAATTTCATTGATGAAATTAGCTTTTAGAAAATATTTTTCCTTGCTCCATTATTACACCATTGGATTGTTTTTGGGAAGGATCTAAATTACTTGGTCCAGAAATTCCAGTGAAAATACCGGGCTACAATCAACAGGTACAATGGACGAATCTTAATCCACAACAAATGGTTGATATTATGATTACATTGATGAAACAATCGATTGAATCATCCGGTGCTACTATTGATAGTAATAATCAAATTGATAACAATAATGGTGGTAGTAGTTCTGGTATTAATCCAATTCTTGAACCACTTGAAACAATTAGAAAATTTATGAAACGTGCCGGTATAACCAGTGCTTATCAATCAAAACCATGTTTAGATCCACATGATCTTAATTGTCCATTATCAGCACCGAATAAACAATCAGGACAATCACCAAATATTGGTTATGAATTAACCGATGGTTGTTATGGATTTGCAACCAAATATATGCATTGGATTGAAGATCTTATTGTGGGTGGTATTGCTAAAAATCGTTCTGGACATATAATTCGTGCTAAAGCCTTACAATCAATCATACAACTAATGGGTGAACAGAATCTATTTGAATATCATCAACGTACAATTAAAGTTCAACATGTAATGGATTGGTCAATTGATAAAGCACGTGCTATTTTACACGCATGGCAAAGAAAATTCAGTGAAGAATTGAAAAAATTTATGGTAGAAACAGATTTTGTTGGTAGTCAACAATATGATGTTCATCATTTTACCAGTGCATCATTGACAGATATAATGAGAAATTTTTCTCAAGTCAATTTCTTTCGTTTAGCCATTGGTTATATATTGATGTTATTACATGCTGGTTTATCACTATCAAGATGGCGTAATAAACATCATCAACGTTTAGAAAGATCACAATCAATACTTGGTATGTTGGGTGTTTTATTGATTGGTTTAGCCGTGGCTTCTGGTCTTGGTGTTTGTGCATTGATTGGTCTGGCATTCAATGCAACAACAACACAAATTGTACCATTGTTAGCATCTGGTTTAAGTATTGATAATATGTTTTTATTGGCACATCTTTATACTACGGATTTTATGATTAATTTTGTACCACATCAGGTAATGAAAAATTGATTCAATTTTTTCTTTTTTTTTTGATGATAATCAAATTTTTTTGAATCATTTTTTACAGTATCGAACTGCCGAATGTTTGAAACAAGCCGGTTTCAATATACTACTATCATCAATTGGCAATATTGTTGCATTTTGTTCGGCAGCAATTATACCGATACCAGCATTACGTTGTTTTTGTTTACAAACAGCTATTTTAATTACATTCACTTCTATTGCTGTGATTGTTTTATTTCCAGCTATTGCTTCGATTGATTTACGTTTTCGTAGTTTATATCTACAATCGACGACAATAACAAATACACAACAGTATCAACAAGTGAAAACATCATCATTTTTGATCAACATGTGTTTTTATCTATTTTGTTGTCGTACACCACAATTTCAGCAGCAGCAGCAACAACAACAACAACAGAATAATAAAATTTTGATAACATCTGTATGTAAGACACATCCAGTTTCGAATCTTCAACAACAATCTAGTCAAACATCAGAAATAACCACCGAATCATCGAAATTATCATCATCATCATTATTTAAACAACCATATCAATATAAACAGCCATATAATTATGCCTATTTAAACAGTATTCAACCAATGACTAATAATCATGATAATGTGAAAAGAAATTCATCATCATCGTCAAAAACAACAACAACAATTTGCCGTTGTCAACATCGAACAACATCATTTGTTTGTGATAATGATAATGATGTCAATGTTGATGATAATGAAATGATACGACAATGTAATAATTGTGGTGGTGATTTACGTACACAATGTGATGGCCAAAATAATGATGATCATCATGAAGAATTTCAAGAAACCACACCAATAGCACCATCATTATCATCGGATCCAAAACCACAAATTTTTAATAAAATTCAATCAGATATATCATCACTGAAACCATCAACAATTAAATTATTTAAATTTTCTACAACACATGTTATTGAACATTATATTGCACCAGTATTGAAACGTCGTCCAATAAAAGTTCTCGTACTTCTCTGTTATCTTGTTTTGATTGTAATTTCAGTGATTGGTATCACAAAAGTTAATGATGGTCTTGATCTTACAGACATTGTACCACATGGAACAAATGAATATCGTTTTTTGGAATTACGACGACAATATTTCAGTTATTATAATATTTTTGCTGTTACAAAAGGAAATTTTGATTATCCAAATGGTCAACGTTTATTATATGATTATCATCAAACATTCAATAGAATCGGTGCTATTATTAAAAATGATGATGGTGGTCTGCCAGATTTTTGGCTACCAATGTTTCGTGATTGGCTAAAAGAATTACAAGATGCATTCGATTATGATCGCAAACGTGGCTGTATAACACGTGAACGTTGGTATCCAAATGCAACATCTGAATCAATTTTAGCATATAAACTACTTGTTCAAACTGGAAGGCCAGATAATCCGGTGGATAAATCATTGTTGCTTTCAGCTCGATTAGTTGATAGTCAAGGAATTATTAATCCAAAAGCATTTTATAATTACCTAACGGCATGGGTATCAAATGATGTTATGTCATATGGTGCTTCACAAGCTGCATTTAAACCTGAACCACGTCAATGGATTCATGAAACAAATGATGTTGAATTGAAGATACCGAAATCACCACCATTAATATTTACACAGATACCATTTAATCTGAATAATATTCGATCGACTGAAGAAATTGTTCAAACTATCCAGGATGTACGTATGGTTTGTCAACGTTTTGAAGAACGTGGCCTACCAAATTTTCCTACCGGTATTCCATTCACATATTGGGAACAATATCTTGGTCTTCGTTTCTATATGATCGTAGCTTTACTGGCTGTTTTGATTGGAATTTTTTTCGCTACATTAATACTAACCTGTAGTCTATGGACACCGATGATTATTGTGGCACATCTTGTCGTTAACGTAATGATTCTATTCGGTTTTATCGGTTGGATCGGTATTAAACTTAGTGCTTTACCAGCTGTCATTTTGATTGTATCGATTGGAATATCACTGAATCCGTTGATTCATATTACGATTGTAAGTGTTTTTTTGTTTTGTTGTTGCAAAATTTCATCGATGTTGTTTTGGGCAGAGTTTCAACACAGCTTTAGGTAATCGCAATCAACGTATGTCAATGGCATTGCAACATATGGCCAATCCAGTATTACATGGAATTGTTTCCACGCTTTTTGGATTGATAATGTTATCATTTTCAGAATTTGATTTTATCATTAGGTATATAGTCTGATTGATTGTTTTTTTTATTAATAATCATCATAATCATTTGTATAATTTATCATCTTATAGATACTTTTTCATGGTACTTGGTGCATCTATTTTGATTATTACGATCAATTCGTTTATATTGTTACCTATTATATTGTCAATTATTGGACCAAAATCTGAATTACAATCATTAGAACATGAAGATCGAATTTCAACACCATCACCACCACCATCTCCGATTATATTACCATGGCCACCATTATCGATAAATCAACATAATCATCATCATTCAAACAATGGTGGTATTGGTGGTCATTCATCATCCAATGATCGATATATAGAAGCACTAATGCTAGAAACAGCTGGTATAGGTCGTAGAAATGGAAGAAAATCACCATCACTAATTAATCGTACACCATCATCATTATTTAATCGTTATCGTCAACAACGTAAAGAATTACAAAGAATGCATTCACAATTAAGTTTATCAACGATATCGGAAGAGCCATCATCATATCAGTCAACACCAACACCGACAACAACACCTATACCTCATACGTTGAGCACACCATCATCATCACAGCAATCACAACCGAACAACGAATATAGCAACTATACAACCGGCAGCAGCAGCACAACCAATCGTTGTTCATCCGGAATTTGTTGTCGAAACAACAATTACAAATAATAATAATAACCCAAAAACATCGACAACACCTACTTCAGAGATTGGATCCACAACAACAACTGATAGTCCATCACCATCAATGTCAACAGATGATAATAATTCTCGTTGTGAATCATCAAATTCGATAGCATCATCTTCAACAACAACTGTAACAACAAAAGTAATGGCAACAGCAAAATTACAGATTGAATTACATCCATATACACCATCACCAACGCCATCAACAATAGGATCAACAACACCATCGACGACATCAATGTCAAATCCTCATACACAATATCAACATCCAATGGTTCCAACAATGGTATCATTTCCAGGTGCAAATTATCATCATTATCAACCAATTTTCATGTCACAGCCACCACCATCATATCATCATAATACATCACATAATCAACAAACAACAACAACAACAGGACATGAATATCATTTTTATCCAGGACAATCTGTAACAGTCAATCATCCACATCATCAACAACAACAAGTTCGACGATTTCAACAACATCAACAACAACCATCACAATCAAATATTGGAAATGCAAATACAACTGCTAGCACATATCAACAACAACAGTCATCAACAGTAATGAATCAATCTACAAATTTGCATTACAATCCTCATCATCATCATTATCAGCAGCAACAGCAGCAGCAATGGCGATGAGATTTAAAAATACTCTTTTTTTTCTTGATGTTAATTTTCAATTGATTAGTTTTTTTCTTTCTTGTATAAAAAAATGTATGTATAAATTCAATTATTGTATACAAGCAGACAAAAACAATTTTTTTTTGTCTTCGTTATGTTTTATATTTATTTTTTTTTTTTTTTTGAACTATTCATTTCATCGCCGGAAACATGATGATGATGATAAATAAATATTTATTTATTATAAGCTCGATAGTCAACCATTTAAATTTCCGTATGTGGGCGAGGTTTTTTTTGTTTTGTTTTGTTTCGGTTTTTTTGTTCCGTATCCACAATATATATGTATGGAAATGACCTCATATTCATTTGATGACAATGATTAATTATTGGCTCAAATTCGATGACATTGTTCATCACAATAGATAGATTGGTAATATAATTTGCTTATTAAATCGATATACTAATCAATCACAGGTAAATTCAATATATATTTTTTTACTATAATTCATTGATATTTGTGTTCCTGAATGTTTGGTTTTTTGTTTTGTTTTTTATTATTATTCGGGAAATATCAAACATGAATTGATAGAATTATGATGACAAAATATTTTCGTCATTCATCAGTCACAAACAAAAACAACAACAACAACAAAAATATTCTTGACAATGATTTATTATTGTTGATTGAATTTTTTATTATTATTATGTGTTCTCATTTGTTTGTTTATTATTATTGTTGTTGTCGTCGTTGTTGTTGTTGTTGTTGTCAACATATGTGTTTTTATTCTGCTGAAATGGTTGCCAAATACACACATATATATATCATCAGAACAAAAAAAAATAATAATGATAATTAGCAATGATGATGATGATGATGATGATCAGGATATAATGAAATTAAGTGCGAATATTCTGATGGAAACACATCTATAGATAGAACCAAAAAAAAAAAAACGACAACTACAACACAACAATAAAATTGAAAAATCCACCTTGTTATGTACTATGGATGGATTTCATTGAATGAAATAATCAAAAAAAAAAAAAAAAAACAAAAAAAATATATGATGAAGAAAAGAAAAAAAGAAACAATTAATAGGAAAAGAATTGTAAGTGGAAAATTTTTGGAATCGATATCATACACATACCGACAAAACAGAACAAAGGTATTTCCCATGTGAATTCTTTTGGTATTGAATTTATGAGAGCAACAAAAAAGGATTGCTGATGAAGCTGAAATCTTTTTTTTTTTTTTAACATTATCATCTCACAATGATAATGATAAATAATGGAATGAAATATTTCGAATGTATATTTTTTTATTTGACGGCGTCACATTCACAACCTACGTACGTCGTTTGTATGAAGATCAACTTTGACACACACACACACACACAAAACAAACATTCGATTTCGATTCATTACCATCATCATCATTTGTTTTTTGTTCTTGTTGTTGGAAGATATGTTTGTTTGTTTGTTTCCCAAAGGAAATCATCAATTGTATGTAAATTTATTTATTTTTTTTTGTTTTGTTTTGTTTTAGTTTCATTCGAAATTCATCATCGTCATCATCATCATATTCATTCTGATTATTATTATTATTATTATTATTACGACGGAAAAGAGTTTGATGGCAGATAATAAAAGAGAAAGAAAGATAAGAATTTTATACTTTTGTGTTGTTGTAATTCAATGGGGAAAAAAAACAAATGACCAATATTCCACTCGTATGTTGTTTGTGTTGATTGTAGATAAAATATATGCACAACAACAACAACAACAGAAAAAAAAAATTGCAAAGTCCATTTTTTTATGTAGAGAATATTCCTGAACTCCGGATGATGGACAGATTTTTGTTTGTTTTTATTATAATCATAAATAGATGATGATGATGATGATGTTTTTTTCTAATCTAAATTCTTAACCGAATAACAAATGTCGAATGATAAAATGGATGACAATGACATACGAAGAATTGGAGAAAAAAAACTAATCAAAATAATGGACAAAAATTCATCAAAATAATGTCGATAATGAATGAATAAATAAATATGACTAAAGAAAAAAACAACAACAACAACAACAAGCATAAATTCTTTTCGCATTTCTTCTGTGTTCTTATTCTTGGTTTACGATTCTATGTTTGTTCGAATGATGGTTATTTTTATCATCATCATCATCGTCATCATCATCATCGTCATGAAATTTAATCCGATTGATTGTCCATCAAGATAATGGACAATAGATTTTTTATTTAAAAAATAATATTCCATCATCATCGATTTGATTGGATTCATTTGAAATTGGAACGTGTGTGTGTCCATTGATCGATCATTATCGATAATTGCAAAAATATTCGTCATCATCAAAAATGTACATGATTTATGTAAGATTAGTAAGAATGAATCAATGATCAATTATTGCATTATTATTATCATCGTCAAGACAGATCAATTCCATTTCAATTCCAAAAGTGGACATCTTTATAATAATGAACAACAATGAACAACTTATCAATTAATCAGTTTACATTTTCTTCTTCTTTTTTTACTTTTATGATGAATTAACTCAATGGAAAATGTAAAAGTTTTAACAATATGAAAAAAAAAATTTCCAGTGCAAAAGTCTATTTAGACACACGTAAGTATTTCACTTATAAAAATCAGCCATATGGGTTTAAATAGAAAAAATTAATCAATCAAAGCTCATTTTATTTCAATTTGAAAAAATTTTTTGAATTTATTGCCAATCAATTTGTTTTTGTTTTTTTGCTTCCACAAATAGAGAGAGAGAGAGAGAAAAAAATGATCAATTTATCGATTTCTATAATTTTAATGATTGTGATGATTCTTTTATATATTTTGTTTATCTTTGAAAGATAATTTGTGTCATATGCGTGCTTGTGTGTGTGTGTGTTTTTTTTAAATCATTACATGAATTTGTAAAAATTTATTTTTAAAATATGGAAAAATAATGAAGAATTAAAAATCTAAATTTAGATTGATTATTCATTAATGATGATGATGGTGGTGGTATTATTATATCGATGTGACTATCGATCGATCGATTGAAATTGTTGTTGTTGTTTGGCAAACAAACAATGTTTTAAAATTTTTTTAATCATCATTATATTGTAAAGATTACTGTTTGAATTAGCCATGAAAAAAAAATAATTGTCAATTCATTTTTCATTTTTTTAGTGCAAATGCTCATAATTGATTGATTGATTGATTGAAATTGTTGTTTGTCCATTTCAATATAACACCACATACCATTATTTTTTAACAACAACAACAAAAAACAAAAAGTTTCAATTGGTTTTATGATGATGATTATGATGATGATGATTTTGTGAAGAACCCTGTTAACAACAACAACAACAACAAATAACAACATTGACAAAAAAAAGTGAATGATTTTGTGCAAAAGTGAGTGTTTGTTTTTTTCTGTTTAAAACCAGCAAACGATAATGATGATGATAGTTTTTTTTCTGAAGAAAAGTTCTTATGAAGCATTTTGATTTTGATTTTGATTTTTTTCCTATTTAAAGTGTATCGATTATTTCATTGATGAATTTCGATGATTTTTGATCTTTGAAATTTCCGAGTTGTTTTCGGTTGTTGTGATTTTTATCCTTTTTTTCTACTTAGAATGATTGAACAAATTTTTAATTCTGCATTGCTAATGATGATGATAGCTGTTGTTGTTGTTGTTGTGATCGTTTTGACTCATTACTTCGTTTTATATCCATACGTCGTGCAAGATTTTCGGCTAAAATTTCCAATAAATAATTCTGTTCCACATAATGATGATGGTGATTAAAAGATGATAATGATGAAAATTGTACATGATTACTTAATGGATTTAAGCATCAAAAAAAAAAATTTTCGTGCATTTGATAAAAATTTGAGAAAAAAAATTCATTCCTGTGAAAATTATGGTTTTGTATGTGTGTGTTTGTGATCAACTCATTCATTCAGTCATCGTGACAATAAATCAATCACTTTACCTCTGTCAATTTGGTCAATGGTTGATCACGATTAATCAATAGCCAACGATATGGTCCATTTTCAATTATTTCACCACTAGATTGTAGTTGTTGTTGTAGATCTACAACATTATTATCATCACCATTGTTATTATTATTATTATTATTATTATTGTTTGTACTACCACGTTTGCCAAATCTAATTCAAAAAAAAAAAAAAAATTAAACCGATAATTTGCATTGATCACCATCGCCAACTAAATATTCAACAAACAAACAAACAAACAAACCTTGGTCTTGCCATTTGTTCATAATATTTATCCAATTCTTTCAATGTATTCATTGCACTACGATGATCATATGGACGATAAAATTCCATTGCTGCATATGGTTTAGCCAATGCAAAACGCCAAAATAATGTTGATGTTGTACAGGAGAATAATAATAAAAAATACAATGTTGCCATCATTAATGACCAAGTGGACATTGGTGCTTTGATTCTATTTTTATTTCGATTAATTGTTGCTGTTATCGGTAATCTATTCATTTTAGTCGATAGTGTTGAAAAAATTGTTGACAATTCAGTTGATGATGATGGCGATAATGAAGATTTTGTACAATCATTCAATGATGAAAAATATTTACGATTTACATTCATCACCATTTGACGATATTTATTATTATCATCAAGATTCACTTGTAATTTTGATAGCATTCTATTCAAGCATCAAAGTTAAAATGAATTCGAATGAATGGTTCGATTTTCTATTTTAACTTTGTATGTCAACACAGGTTAAAAAGTGACCACATTCGATTGATAAATGAAAATTTCGAATGTTGAAAAAATTTTCCTGCTTTTATCTTGTTGTCTGTTCCAAATTGAACCATTGAATTTCCGTAGTCGGTTATTATCGTCGTTTTAATAAAATATAAAAAAATGGGCGTCAATTTTAACAACGATCAACCATTGATCGAGTTTAGTTGACGATCGCGCAAGAGAATATTCTCACATTCCCGTACAACTAACTAACTAACTAACTAACTAACTGGTGATTATAACATTTTTCTCATTCTGGTGCAAAAAATATAACAACGCACACAGCTAATCAATTTTGGAGACGTCTCAATTTGGATCCATATATATGGGAGAATCTTTTTTTTTCTAGAACATCTAAGATCTGTCTGTTGCTGGGTTTACTTGACCAAATAATGATAATCCATCACTACCATCATCATCATCATCATCATCATCATCAATCGAAAAAACCTGTCTATCAAAAATAATCGATTTCCATACACTGGTAATGACGATATTTTTGAAGGGGCAAAAAAAAAATTCGAATGTTTTCTTATTACTGTTGACCAACGATTAATCATGAATTTTGATGGCATGTAATGTTACAAAAAAAAAAAAAAAAAAAAATCCACCCACCGGTAAATTCAATTAAAGAAATTAATTTGATCAATGTATATATTGTCAAATAGTGTTCCAATGTCCGATGGGAATAAAATAAATGATGTCCACTGTATGACGATGTTCATCATCAACATTATAATTTGTTTAACATCAGGTAATGTAAATAAATTCAATTCGAATGATTTCCAAAATGGAAAATACATTTATTCATTTTAGTTTTAGTAGTAATGAAAATAAATAATTCACTTAGCTAGGTAATTCTCTACATGTCAAACAAATTATTGCCCAATACGTAAGTATTTTCATTGAAGAAGGTGAGAGAATTTTTTTGATTCTTACAATGTGAATGAATTGAAACAAATTGACATTCATGACATTTATATTCATTATTATTATTATTAAATGAAATTTTTTTTCTTCCAACATGAACGAAACAAAAAAAAAACGAATCAAAATTCCTTCAAATCAATTTGGATTGATCAGAAAAACAAAATTCATCATCATCATCATTCAGAATTTGTTTCAATCAAAATTCCTTCAAATCAATTTGGATTGATCAGAAAAACAAAATTCATCATCATCATCATTCAGAATTTGTTTCGATTCAATGAATTTATCGATTCGAATAATTTACAAATTTTTAAATTTTATTTATTTTTTTAAAAAAAGAACTATATTCATCTATTGTGTTACATTATTTATACTTTTGTTTATATATAAAAAAAAGAATTGATCACAAATTTAAAAAATGATGAAATTGATTCAGATATACAAATTGAAATGAATTTTTTAAAAAATTCTTGAAGTGTTGAATAATAAGATATATCCACACACAAACGAGAGTGTTGAATTTTACATTTTATTCGATTTAGATGGAGTGTTCATCATTTGTCCAGCTGAAACAGGAACATTACAACCACCACCACCAGCGGCGGCTGCTGCTGCTGCAAGCATTATATTGGCAGCATTATTTCCAGCTTGTTGTATGGCTCCTGGTGATGCTGATTGACCAACAACTACAGGATTTGGACCACCACCCATTGATTGTTGTTGTTGTTGTTGTGGATCTTTTTCAATATTTTTCAATAATTGATGTAGCCAACTTTTTGTGCCACGATCATTATTTAAACAATTGGCAAATGTATTGGATTTAAGATGATCCGGCAGACAATGGCGTAATGCTTCACGTGCACGTGGATTATCCGATAAACGAAGATAACAACGAATGACATGTTTCAATAAACGTGCCGATTGATCTTTAGCTAATGCCAAAACCATTTTACCAAGAATCATGGCAACATGTGAAAAACGATCATATGTTTGACAAATGTAATTCAAACCAGTTTCATCCAGAAGAATTTTCTGCAAAATAAATGTTGCCACTGTTTTCGATAATTCTGTTCCCGATTCCATGATACGTAAACATAATGGTATGATTTCAGTTTTAAGCAAAAAATTAATCACCTCTTTTCATCGGTTTTCACTAATGCACCGATAACGCCCAATGATGTTAGCCGTAGATATTCAAATGGACGTGTTTTCGATGGTGTATTCATATTGAGGAATGGATACAAATATAGCGGAATATTAGCCTGAAGAAAAGCTCCACGTGTTTGTGAATGTGATGCAACACATTGAAGCAATGCAAGAGCATTACAAACACGATTTGATTGATGTGCATTCAATGTTGGTGGATGAATTGTTGGATAAACGGAAATGATTTCCTGCAACAGTGCAGCAATGGCACCAAATGAATTCCACAAAAGAACGGCCAAATCTTCAACATTTTCACGTTTACGAGACAATTCCATTAATGCATGTTCTCGTGTTTCAAAATTAAGTAGATCACCAATTAATTGTAATATACGATCAGTTTCATTTGATGATTGTATATTACCACCGGTAACAATAGTAGGAATTATTGTCAATGGTGTATTCAAGCCGGAAGATGCCGGTGTCGATCCAGATGATGCAACACCAGTTGTATTGTTAGATGTAACCACTGTTGAAACAGGAACACCACCAGTGCCAGTATTTTGACCAGGATTCAATGATAATTGTGATACATGTGCATTAACAGCATTCATCATTGCAACCGATTGATTCGATTGTTGTGATGATGAAACAATTGATGATAACATTTTAATTTTTCTATATATCTGCCAAACAAATGAACGAACAAAACGAACCAAAAAAAAAAAAAAATTCGAATCAAAATAAATGACCACAAATTACAACAACAACAACAACAACAATAACAACAAATTCAACTTACCAGAATTAAAAAAAAATAAAATAATAAATCCAATTCTTAATTTGAAAATAAGAATAAATGAAATTGAAATTATTAGAAAATCAAAACGTAAAAAAGAAAAAGAATAATTGTTCGAACCGTGTGTGTGTGTGTGTGCGGAGACAATGATGTGTAAAAAAAAAAAAAAAAAAAAAATCGTGAACACAAAAAAAAAAATTTTTCTCATTTGAACACGTTCATATAGGCTGTGACGATGAAAAAAAAAATTGCGCATGTTGATTTTGTCATCATCATCATCATCATTATTTTTGTTATAATTTGAGATGCAATAAAATTTTTTTTTTTGTTTTTCGTCTAAAACTTTGGGGGTTTATAAACGATATATATAAATATTAAAAATAAAAAAGTAAATTTCAAACAACAAAATTAACTTGAATGTGTGTATTTTGATCACATTCATTCATTCATTCATTCCTGTAAATCATCATCATTTGTGATGTGATCACATCAACAAAACGATTCTTCAAGGCAAAAACGAAAAACACAATATATATATTCTGTAGCTGTATTTGTGTGTGTGTATGTTGAATATTCTATAAAGGTGAATTCTTTGTTGTTTTTTCTGTTTGTTTGTTTGTTCATCATCATAATTCTTATGTTTGACTTTCTTTTTTTTTCATCATGACAATGACACGTGTAGTGTATGTGTGTATGTATGTGTAGGACACGTATTGTTTATTTGATTCATTGAAAAATCAAAGAAATCTTTCATCTAAAATAAACTCATCATCATCGACCAATGTTTGATAAAGACAAAATTCGAATCACGTAAAAACCATAAAATCATCAAACCAATCAATAATTGGAGGAAATAAAAAAAAAAAATGTTGGAAAGTTTTGCAGCCTGGATTCTGAACACCTATATTGGTGATTATTTTGGCAATGTCAATACACATCAGCTTCGTATGTCATTGAAAAATGGTATGTATCCAATAGTGATGGTTGTTCGAAAAAAAAACATTCGAATCAAATTGTTTCGGATTTTGTTTTTTTCCTGATGATGATAACGTTAATTATCAATGTCCTTAATGTTTTTTTTTTTTTTTTTGATTTATTTTTCATCGTCATCATCAACAAAAAATCAATAGGCGAAATCGAATTGGAACATCTACCATTGAAACGTGATCTAATCAGATATCTAGGTCTACCATTGGAAGCAAATGATGGTTAGTAATAATCAACTATTGGCTCACATTTTCCAATTAAAATTTTTTTTTTTTTTTTTTTTTACTCAATATATCGATTATAATTGCCCCAAATTTTTTTTTCATCCACAAAGGTTTCATTGGAAAAATTTCTATAAAATTTCCTAGCTGGAGTTCATTCACATCTGAACCATTAGTGATTAGTATTGAAGATTTATTCTTGATTGTCAAGCCGATTACAAATTTTTCGGTAAGTGTTTTTATCCAATTAATTATTACACAAATTCTGTTCTAATGTTTGATTGATCCAAATCAAAGTATAATGAAGAAGAAGAAAATCGTTCACAACAAGAATTTAAAATATCACAATTAGATATGATGGAACAACGATGGAAAGCATTACATGATGATGATCTTGCTGAACCACATTCATATTATTCATCATCATATTCATCGTGGCTAAATTATGGTTCATCATTGATAAATAATGTTTTGATGAATATTCATCTGAAAATATCATCAATACATGTACGTTATGAAGATAATTCCACCATACCTGGCTGTCCATTTGCCACCGGTATTGTTATACGTAGTCTTACGTTGTGTTCAACAGATGAAAATTGGCAACCAAAATTTGTGACCACACAGAATCATAAAGGAGAATCAAATGTTAATGAAAATTTTCTATTCAAATTAATCGATTTAGAATCATTCGCCTGTTATATGGATACAGAAACATTACTGTTTGGTGAATATGATCTAGATACAATGGTCGATCATATGCGACAAACATTGGATAGAAATATTAATCATAAAAATATTCCAACTGAACATGATTATATGATTGCACCGGTGAATGGAAAATGTTTTATGAAAAGAAATTGTACAGAAATGTCATTGAAATCTTGTAAACAACCACGTACGGTTATCGATGTACAATTGGAACGTGTACCAATTATGATGACCGCCATTCAATATAAACATCTATTAGATTGGAGTTTAGCATTTCAAACACAGAAAACACTATGGCGTTATCGTAAATGGCGACCAATGATTATTAATCATGGTCAATCTATACGGAAATCCGAAAATGATCAACAACAACAACAACAAGATGACGAGGATGATGATGATGATGATGATATTTCAATTCGTTATGAATTTAAACCGAAAACATGGTGGCATTTTGCTGTCAATGCAAATCTAGAAGAATATCGTCAACGAAGACAACGTTTTAATTGGCATTTTATTCTACAACGTGTACGTGATATTATTGGTTATCATCGTGCATACATTTGTTATCTAATTTATCCAGAATCATTTTCACGTGATCTACGTTGCCTAAAAGAACGTGTTGAAAATGAATTTACATTAGATGAATTGTGTTCAATACGTGAAATTGTATTTTGGCGTGCAAATCAAATACTAAAACGACAAATGAATCCATCTGATTTGAATAATGGTGGTAACAACAAATTGAACATTACAGAACAACAACAATCCGGTGGTGGTTATTGGTTTTTACCATATAATGTTTTATCAAATCTTTATTACAATTATGCTTCCACAACAGCAGCAACAACAACAACAGATCAAGAATCACCAACAGAAGATATTAAATCTGAACAACAAGATGATGAGAAGAAGAAATGGATTTTCATTCAAGTAAACGTCGCCATTTATCACAATCATCATTAAATCTATCGACAACAACAATTACAGATGATATATTTCTTACACGTGATGCTATTTATTGTCAATTTAATTTTCAAATACATAATTCATCATTTCAATTGATGGCATTCAATAATCTTACATCATCACAATCATATGAACAGACATTTATTTCATCATCACAGCAACAACAACAGCAGCAACAAGGAAATTTAATATTGGAATTTGAATTTAATCAAATGAAAATTGGTGTCGATGTAACAAATCCAAATGCATATGCTTGTAATTGTCATAATCGTGGCGGTGGTGGTGTTGGTGGTGGTGGTGGTCAACAGCTTATTCGAACAACAGCTGATTATCATCAAAAACAACAACAACAACAACAACAACAGAAAACTATATTTCTTACACAAAATGAATTGAATCAATTACAATTGGATTTAAATTTTGAATGTCAAAATCTAAATCTAACATTATTACGTACAGATGATATTACAACAGCTGTAATAATAGCTGATGATGATGATGATGATCAACATTCGAATTTGAAGATGGAAAAAATAGCAACGGCTACATTGACTGGTTGTGGTTGGCAATTTCGTTTTAGTACCAATATGTTATCAATTGATGGACGTATGGATTCATTAGAATTATTGGATCTAATTACGGCCACAAATAATGTTAATCATCATCGTCGTGTATTATCGATTGGAAAAATTATCAACTCGGATAATAATAATAATGATGATGATGGCAATGATGATAATGATGGAACATCAGAATCATCGACAATTCCAGTGGAAAAGGCATTAATATTTTCATTATCAAGACATATGAATGAAAATGTTTTACGTTTGAATATTGAAATGGCATCATTTTGTTATGTACATTCAAGCATCCTAGTATATGAATTATCATTATGTAGAAAATGTTTTACCGATGTTTTGGAAGCATATTTTTCACGTTCATTTAAAGAACGTGTACGTGCTGCAACCACAGAAGTATTACGTGGAATTGTACCCGAAACAACAACAACAACAGCGGATGATTCAACAGCTGAACAATCGAATGATATACAATCAACTAGTTCACCGCCACCACCATCTAGTTCTTCTTCTTCTTCTTCGCAATTGTTGCGACCAACATCATCGACATCGAAATTATCATTATTTAAAATGCAAACAAAATCACATGGTCGACAGAAAACAAAATTTAAATCCAAAACTAAATCAATGGCAAATCCATTTTTGGATAATTTTAAATTGAACATTTTCATACGTTCACCGATTATAATTTGTCCAATTTCACCATCCAGTTATGAAGTGGTCGTATTTCATCTTGGCCATATGTTATTGAATAATCATAATCATTCTACTGATATAATTCGAACGATTGGTCGTCAAGAAATGATTGTATGTAAACCATCATCACAACAGCAACGACAACGAAAATTTGGCATAACCGTTAATCAATCACCATTGCCAATACAGAATCATTCAACAAATTCTTCGTCATCGACTACTACCACTACTTCAACATCGAATAATTCTTATAATGCCGAAATTCGTGATCTAAGTATTTATTCATTGGATTGTGTGAAAAATATCGAAAAATTTGCTCAACGAAAACATTATCCATCGGATCGATTGAATCGATCACAACCAGAGCTTTATATACCGGTGGAAAAATTTTATTACTGTGATATGTTTGGTGTACCGATACTACAGAAAACTGTGATTGAAATTGTACTTGAACGTAAAATTCTTTTTTCATCACTAAATGATTCAATGACATCATCATCATCATCATCATCAACATCAACATCAACAATGACAACAACAACAACTTCAACTGCTGTATCATCAAAATCTATTGGTAAAAAATCATCAGATTCAGTCAATATAGTCGATGGATTAAATCTAATAAGTTCAGTGAATAGTATTGATCCATTAGTATTGCCGAAAAAATTTTCTATTCGTCAACATTTTTATCCTGATCAATTATCTTCATCATCGTTTATTGGTGGTGAAAGTGTACGACATCATAAAAATAGTAAAAACATTACTACAGCAAAACCAGAAATGGTTCTTTCTATTGAAATTTCAACCATTGATGTACGATTCTCATATACAGATTTATTGGTTTTCTGGCATATTCTTAATACATTGACTTCGATTGAACAACAGCCACAGCCTGTTTCTTCATCGATCCATCCACCATCAGCATTAGATCAGAATAAAACCGTTTTGAACAATATAACAAAACAAAATGATGATGAAGATGATGAAATGATGGAAATGTTACAGCAGATAACATTATCTAGTTCCGGATTGAATGCCGAAGAATTTCGTTGTCGATTAAATAATCTGATTGATCTGGGTTTCAATCCACGTGATAGTCTTCGTGCATTAGCATTGAAAAATGGTGATATTATTGAAGCAGCATATATGCTTTCCAGTCCAACAACAAGTGATGTACAACAAAAAAATGATGATTTAATTAATCAAAATTCCGATACAGATAATCATTCACAATCATGTACATCGGAAATATCGGCTGCTACGACTACGGATGTGGCAATGATGACTACAATAGCTTCAATGAATTTACAAAATGATAATAGTGGTAATAAATTGAATGGAGAAAAACGAAAGAAAAATCCAAATCGATCTCGATCATCATCGAATTTATTATTATCGATATTATCGGTGATTGAAGTAAAAATTGCTAATGGTTCCATCAGAATTATTGATGATTGTAATCAACTTGATCTACCATTATTGGAATTGGGTGTTACAGATTTTCGTTTGATGCAATATTATACCCGGTCTGTTGAAGCACATGCACAAACAAATTTTTATTGTGATTATTATAATTCACATTTATCTGGTTGGGAACCATTCATTGAAAATTGTCAGATTGCTTTTTCATGGAAACATCATGAACCACGTTGTCATTTGAAATCAATGTTAAATACAGCTGCGATTGCATCAACAAATCGTATACCTGTTGCAAGACAAAAATTAGCAATAAAAATTGAAATTAGAAAAATGTTTAATCTGAATGTTTCACGTACATTGTTGGATTTGATTGAAAAAGTTCATCGTGAATGGCGACAAGATATTGAAAATTTTATGTCATTACCATCGGATCGTCGTACATTTCGTCATCGTCAACCATTCATACCGTTTGCATTGAAAAATGATACTGGTACTGATCTGCATATGTTATTATCGAATTCAAGAAAAATGTTCTCCACAGAAAAGCAGCCGATTTGATTACACCTTGTGATTTGAAACCCAGTCTTGATGTACAAGCCGATCATATTGTTTATTTTGATTGTGTTGATCTATTACATTCATCATCATTATCATCATCATCGAAACAAAATTCAAGCCATAAACATCATCGACAAAATTTATTACCACCACGATCATCAATATCGTCAACAATTTCACCATTAAAAATCTATATAAAAGTTGATGGTTGGCAAGAAACATTTCCACTGTCAATAGAACGTGAAGGAACATTTATTCGTCACGTTATATCTGAACGGTACACAAATCAATCAGCTATTTTGGTGTTTGAAATTCGATTACAATCGACAGCAATCAAATTGATTACAGTTCGATCATCATTGTTGATAACAAATCGTACAACGAAAATGGTTGAATTAAAATTCGTTAATACAGCAATGTCCGATGTACGTACATCGTATATGATTGCACCACAAGGAATATTTCCCGTACCATTGGATTTATTATATGCAAGAATTCAATTACGTCCATGTGATCTAGGTATTGGTACCTGTTCTACTTATATAAATTGGAATCATGTACGAAAATTCGGTGAACTAGATTGTTCATTACAGATTTGTACACCGATCACTCATACACAACATGGATCATATTCAAAATCACAAGCATATGTTGTATCCGTATTAGTCGAACGAAATTCCATCGGAGCATTGATTGAATCAAGAAATATTTTTCGTCAATCAAATCAAACATTGAATAATGCCGGTATGATGATGATGATTCCATCGCCAAAAATATCACCATTAGTTACATTACCATCGCATACGATAACATTGCTACCACCATTACAATTGGCTAATCGTTTGCCATATGAATTACGATTTAAAATTTTAAATAGTCAAAATGGACAAGAATTATCGTCATCATCATCATCTGCATCGACTGGAACAATAAAATCTGGTGATGATTATTCTGTACATTATATTTCTCCACTTGAATCATTTAGTATTGAATTTCAAATGGAACATTTTCCACGTTGTCGTCCATTACAAATTGAACCGGGTGCTATCAAAAATTTTGAAACCCATATCGATATGTATGATGCACGTAATCGATTGTTAATACTGAATGCACATATTGTCGTACAAAATGGTTGTCCAAAACCATCGAATGCAATGACAATAACCATTTATGCACCATATTGGATTGTCAATCGTAGTGGTTTACCACTTGTATTTGCACAAGATGGTGGTGGTGGTGGTGCCACGAATCTAATTGAAGAAGCTGCCGGCCAATATGAAGAACATGAACGTGCACGATCAATATCACCATTATTATTTAGTTTTGCTAATCCAGATTCATCACAATATTGTATAATGCGTTTAGGACGAATGTTACCGAATATGTCACCAAGATGGTGTAATTTATTCTGTTTGGAAAAAGGTACATTTTATCGTCGTTTACGGGTTACAGAATATTCCCCTGAAGATAGTATACCACAAGAAAAAATCTATGAATTCGGTATCGATATTCGTCAAGGACGTGATCGTTATAATCAAACAAAAATTGTTACTATTGCACCACGATTTCAGATTGAAAATCTAACTAGTTTTAAACTGGAATTTGCACAAAAATGTTTCATTTATCCAGATGTTATTGTTGGTGGTGGTCAATCGTCGAATTTCATGGAATCATCAAATGTACATTTCACACCATCATCAATGTCAAGTCCAATTAAAACTGGTCACCGAAATTCATTTAGTCGTCGTTTAAGTTCACAAAGTGGTAGTAATAGTAGTGTTGGTGGTTATCATCATGATTTCGTTGTGGAAAAATCACAAATGATATCAGCATTACCTAAATCAAATATGCCATTCCATTGGCCAGCAACGGATCGGCCAAAATTATTATGTGTACGAATAGCATCATTAATCGGTTGTTTATGGTCCGGTTGTTTTGATGTTGGTTCTGAACCATCGGTATCTTTTCAGCTGAATATTCGTGACGATTCTGGACGTTCGAATTTTATACGTGTAGAAATTCTATTACAAAATGCAACATATTTTATTGTTTTCACCGATGCCAATAGTTTACCACCACCGATACGTGTGGAAAATTTTTCTCAAGTTGCCATTGAATTCTGTCAGATTGATTGTACACAACATCGTACGATTGTAAGGCCAAATTCATCAGTGCCATATGCATTGGATGAACCAACACAGCCAGCACATCTGACTGTTTGTGCACCGGGTGGTTCATCATCAACATATGATCTGAATTCATTTGCACCAGGTAATATATTGACATATGATAATTTCTATTATTTAGCATTTGAAGAAACTTTTACATCAACAACAATGGTTGGTGGATCAATGTTTGGCTATAACGGTGGTTATATGGATGATGATGCTGAACAATTAATGTATATGATGATGGCTGGACCTGATTTATCATTCGTTGAAAATGATGTTGGATCTAAAATGCTTGTTTTAGATGTACCAGATTTTGATATACCGAATAGTCCAATGTCAGATACATTTCCTATTGGTGGTGGTGGTGGTGGTGGTATATTGGAATCTGATCGACCTAAACCAGTATTTCTTGGACGTAAAGAACGTGCTAAACGTAGTCAATTATGGCGTCTAGATCAATTGAATCATTTGATACATGAAGGATCATCACCGCCTACTGAACCACCTGGATTTCAAGATTTAGGTTATGCTGAAGTTAGATTTCCTCCAACATTGTTATCATCCACTTTAATGGTTTTAGATGTAATGGATGATGAAATGGATAATTCATCATCAACATCAGCTAATATTGTTTCGATACCATTGGCTGTACGTAAATTGAATCAACAACGTTCATCAACACAAACATGGTATTTCACTGAAGATGGCCGTCTTCGATGTCTAAAATATTGGAATATGTTTGTTCAACCAATTGTTTTGACCACTACAACATCGACTACTACTGGATTAAATGATTTATTTCAAACTGGTACAATGGCCGTTATAGCCATTGGACCAACTGAATCATCAATGACAAAAACGACAATACCAAAACAACAGGCAGTGATTAAACAAAAAATGCGTAAAGGATCCGGTGTTTTAAACGTGTCCATATTAGCCGATGGTCCAAGCCGTGTATTGAGAATCAAAGATAATCAATTGACAGCAAATGGTCGACAATTGAATCTAATACAATTTAATCGTTCTGATCATGGTTCAAACACCAGTAATGGTGGTGGTGGTGGTGGTACATCACAATTAAATGAATTACTCAACACGACGAATACAATGGCTGAACAAAGTTTTCTAATACGTATGTTAAATAAAACTGAATTAGAATTACAACTACAAGTGGATTCTATTGGCATATCGATCATATCGAAAACGAATGAAGAAATTGTGTTTTTATTTATGAAAAAAATCATTTTAGAATTACTTTGTAATCCAGCTGAATGTCGTTTGAATTGTGTTGTCGAAGATTTTCAGGTTTGTTTTTATTTTTTTATTTTTGGTTTTGTTGTTTGACTTTTTTTTTCATTTAGGTCGACAATCAATTATTGGATTCAGAAAAAGAAGTTGTCTTATATGTGACAAATTTGGATTCACAACATCAGCAGCAGCAATCGGATCAGGAGCCGCCTTCATCACCATCAAGATCGATTTCAACAATTACAACAATGGCAGGACAACGAATCATTATTGAACGTCCAGCCATCACGTTTAATTTGCATAAATTATTTCTGCCAAATGTTGAGATTAATGTTTTTAAGGTATGTTGATTTTTTTTGTTATTTTATGTTTAATTGGATTTTTTTTCTCTATTCACAGAGTCTACAAATTAGCATAAATGATCTGGTGTTGAATATTGAAGAATTAGTTTTATTGAAACTATTGGAATTTATTCAATATGATCCAGTCGATTCAGAAATGGATGAAATTAGTTCATCATCATCAGCTGCAATTGCTGCTGCTGCTGCTTCTACAACGGCAACAAATCCATCATTATTATATCATACATCAGGAAATGTTGTCTCCAGTTCATTATCACGTTCAGCACAATATTTTTTTGCATTTTTATTAATTCAATTACGACGTGTCAAATTGTCCGTATTCACTTCGACATCGACCATTGGTCGTTATCTTAATGAATTGAAAAAGAAAGCCGGCATAAAATTGATTCGTTTTGAAGAAGCATTGATACAATTGAAACCATTCCATAAGGTTTATAGCCTGATGACCAGACGTTTTCTTCAGGATTCAATACATGAACATTATCGTAGTGAACTAAGAAGTCAAGCGGCAAAAATTCTTGGAACAGTAGATTTCCTTGGCAATCCTGTTGGTTTTATCAATAATTTTGTCGAAGGATTGAATGAATTCTATTCCGATGGTAGTATTCGTGGATTAATTATGAATGTTACTCATGGAATATCTGATTCTACGGCTAAAGTTACATCGGTTTTATCCGAATCATTGGGATTTGTTACAATGGATGATCGTCATCAAGAAATACGTAGAAAAATTAAACAACAAACTGGTGGTATCGGTGGTCAACGATCACATTTGGTTGTCGGTGCATTTGGTTTAGCACATGGTATATTGGGTGGTATTACATCGGTGATTACGCAAACCTATGATGGTATCGTTAATCATGGTGGTGTCACTGGTTTTTTATCTGGTTTGAGTAAAGGTGTTTTGGGTACATTTACAAAACCAGCTGTTGGAATGTTAGATTTTGCATCTGGTGCCGCAACCGCTGTACGTGATTCAAGTCGTAAAGCATGTTTTGGTATAAATGGTAGACAAGTACGACGTGTACGATTACCACGTACATTAACAATCGATGGTCGTCTAACCCGTTATCAATCACAACAATCACAATGGCAATCACGATTCTATAATACAACTGATTTCGGTACCCAACGTGAATATGGTGAACAATTTGTTCATGTATTTCCATTATCAGATCGTCATTTTGTTTTATTGACCACCGAACGATTGTATTTTTTTCATGCACCAATACGTAAATGTCAACTGCCATCAGAAGATGTATGGGATGATGATGATAATCATGATCATCATGGTGAATTTCGTCATCAACAAGATTTGATTCTAATGAATTGTCCAATACAACAGCTACAGATTCTTTTACTGGATTCATTTTATGAATGTAATCATCATCGTATGATGTTGAATGATGGTGAATATTTTCTGAAAACACAATCTTGTTGTACAGATTTAACATCAACGATTGGAACACAATTGGAACTGGATAATCATCATCATCATCATACGACTGCGGTAGACGAATCATCATCATCAACATCGACAACGGCAATTATTTGTCATTTTATTGAATTTCGTCAAACACCACCAACAAGATCAATGTCCAATTGTATGTCACCTGTACATTATCATAATGATGGTATTGGCACACAACAATCTACAGCAACAAAATTACGACGAAATTCTAATCATGAAGATTCTCATCATCATCATCATAAACAAAATTTTGAATATCCATCACATTTAAATCCATGTTATGTTTATTGTGATTCACCACGAATGATACAACGTATTATACAGCTGGTGAATGAAGCTAAACATTTACAAGAGGAAAGAAAATTTGAAGTATCAAATCTTGATGATTTTTAATTTCAATTTTTTGTTTTGTTTTGTTTTCGTTCATCATTTCTATATATGTAGAGAAAGCATCAGCATATCATTTATTTGTTTCATTTATTCATTTTTTTGTTGTTGTTGTTTTTTTTCATTTATTTATTATTATTCGAATTTTTGTTTTTGTTTTGATCGAAAACAATGATGAATCAAATTGAATAAAAAATAAAAAATAAAATTCACATAAAACGTAAATCACACACAGGTGTCATTTACACATTCGAATCGAATCTTTTTTTTAAATGTACCATCATTATTCGCAAATTATCATAATGGATCTTGGATGGATGGTAATTGTTGCCATACATTGTGGTGATGATGATGATAATTACCACCACCACCCATTCCAACGTCATCATCATTATCATTCCAAATGAAACGAAACTAAACAAAACAAACGTTGTTGGTGTGGCTTTGTTTATTTTCTTGTTTCCGCTTTTTGTTATATGATTTTTTTTTATAATCATTATAATCGTTGTATTTCATAATGATTGATGGGCGTTGTCAGCCGAATAGTAATAATAATAATGATGATGATGATGATCAATATATTGATCAATATGGATCACACAAGATTAATAATGTGATATAAAAGATGCAAAAAAAAATCGAATGTTTATTTTTATCTCATGTATGAATGGATCCACCACCACCACCGTATACGTCAGTCACCACAACAAATAGCGATTTTGTTTTTTTAAATTTAGCATCTCTTTATCGGAAAAAAGAAGAAAAAAAAATTTTTTTTTTCATCGTTCCAAATATGGAACATTAATGATGATGCGATTATCATCATCATAAAATCAATTGTAATGTTATTTTTATTACTATTATCGGTGGAATAAATCATTTCTAGTGAAAGATAGAGAGAGAGAGAGAGAGAAAAGATTCGAATCGATTCATTCGAATCCATTGAAATCGTAATACTTCCGTAATTGAATGTATTAGAAATTTTTTTTATTTTAATTTTTGCATTTTTTTTTAAATTAAAAATAATCATCATTTGATATGTGATGAAAAAAATATAAAAATTTCAATCAATCATCAAATCATCATCAGATCATCATCTTCGTCATCATTTTTCAAATGATTTATCATCAGTTATATCATCGTGATCGGATTGGTTTAGATTTGTGTCTGTGTGTGTGTGTGTGTGTGTGGTAACAATCGATTGTTTTTGTTTTTAAAAACAATCATCAATCAAAGCAACAGGTATTGGACACACAATGTGATTAATGATGATGATGATTTTTTTTTTGTTGTTGTTGTTGTCAACACAACCTGTTGATCATGATGATGATGATCACCATCAACAGCTATATAGAATCTTATTTATGAAAAATTTTAATTTGTGAAAAAAAAATATTCAATGGGCATATATATCGTGTCTTCATTGGATAATTTTTTTCGGGCGTTTATACAAAACAGAACAAAACTCTCGTATCGGTACGGTAATCTACACACATTGATTATAATGGCAAATAAATTTTTTTATTTAAAAAAAAAAAATCCAGGTAAATCTACCACTACTACTACAGTGGCCACTACAACAACATGGATACACGGTAACACTAATTTATATGCCACCACCATCATTAACGCCACTTTGGTGGTGAACGATTTATCGATAGTGTCCCGATTTTTCGATTGTTTTAGTCAACAAACAAATCACGTGACTATCATGACAATCGATAGTATTCTTCCGATTTTTGATTGTTTCATTAAACGATTGTTTTATTGATTTTCGGAATGAATCCGGAAATTTAAAAATTATTATAAGATAAAAATAAAAAATAAAAATTCAAATCTTCAAAGTTTCAAATTGATAAAACGGTCGAATTTTGAAGAGGTACAATCTCAATGTAAAATTTGCATTTGTTTACATTGAATGTGATACCGTTTTGTTGTAATCGGTCGAAAACCATTTTAAGATGCTCTTGGTGTTCATTTTCATTGGTATATGCTACTAAAATATCATCTGAATTTGGATAATCCAATCGAGGCCCGCGGAATGAAAAAAAGATAATTAGAATCAGAACTAATAGAAATTCAATAATTTACATTTATTTCGAGAATCTCCATCTGATTATCCATATCCCCAGAAATAATGGTGGAGATGGTCAGACAAATGGCCAGATTGACCTATTGGATGATCAAGCGATCTTATAGAACATTTATTGATACGTTCAAGAAAAGAATTGTGAATACTAGAATCTGAGTTGATAAAAATTCAATCATTTACCATTTAATCCAGAATGTTGTATTCCTCTATGATGATGCACAACATTTCCATAGTTAAGGATCTGAAATTAGAATGTGAATGGATAGGAATTCAGAATAAGTCACGTTGAAATAAAGAAATTTACCATTAATTGATCAAAATCATGACAATTCTCTTGACACAAATTCAAATTAAAAAGCCACAAATTATTTATGAAACGGTCGAATTTTGAGATAAATTGAGTAAAATGAAGCTTTAGAGAATTTAAGATAATCCAATGGATGCCTGTGAATGGAAAAGATAATTAGGGAATCGGAATTGATAAAAATTGAATAATTTACATTTATTTCAAGGGTTCTTCACTCGGTTATCCATATTCTGGTAAACGATGATGAAGAAAAAGTTGAGATGGCCAGATTGATTCCTTTGACTGATTGATCATTCAAGGATCGTGCACTCTGTTAATGCCCAACAAAAGAAATGGTAATTGTGAATATAAGTTGATGAAAATTCAATCATTTACCATTCATCCAGAATGTTGTGCTCATCTCATGATTTTCATTATTCAGTAAGTTACGATCTTGAAATTAGAAATGTGAATGAGAATTCAGAATAAGTCACGCGTTGAAATAAAGAAATTTACCCATTAATTTAAAAGATTCGCCTGAATATCCAGATCCCTTCGATCAGAGCGATGAGAATCTGAATCCATCGAAATGATTTATTTTCATGTAGCGGATGAATGTGGCAAAAGATTGAACTTGGATCGTCAATCAATAATTATGATCTCATTGATTGAACATTTCGAGACAGAGATGAGCATTTGATGAAAAAGTCGATTGGCACAAAAATCAATCACCAAGTGAATAAGTCAAAGTGGTCAAGCCAAGTGGATGTCAAGAATCAAACATGTCAACAAGTGGCTGAGTTCAAATCTTCAGGTCGAGATGACAGTGAATAAACAAATAAGTCAAGCCATGTACGAATATGTTTCTGACTAATCATAATGTTCATCTCTCGTCTTGAAAAGTAGCATCATTGAATCAAAACGTTCAAAAAGACCAAGTTCAAAACATGCCTTTAAATTTCGTCATGATACTCTTTACATCTCTTCAGTTTCCTTTGACTAAAACCCGAAAAAATGAAGAATAATATGCGCAAAAATCATGTATTTCCATAACTGACCCTTTTGTTGACAACAATTATCATTATGAGAAATCGGAATGATTGATAGATAAGAATATTGATGGGAAACACTTGGATTATAATTTCTATTCAATATTAATTATTTCAATGAAGTTTTTTCTTCGGTAACAATCTCGAGGTATTTCCCCATTCAGCGAATCTTGAAGTCAAGAAATCATATTTTTCAAATTTGGTAATCAAGTTTCTGAAACTCAATTATAAAAAATGTCAGATTGAAGCTTTTAACGAAAATGTTATACTTTACTGAAAAATCGGGAATGGCCATTAAAATTTATGAGTGTGGATTTTCAATGAATAATCGGATTGATAATCCGAGTTGACTGAAATTCGATCAATTGATTTTGAATTTTCAATTCATTTTCAACGTTGGAGAGGAGTTATGATCCGATCGGGAGGATAAGCAGGGACAAGAAAAAGAATAAGTGTTGTTGAAAATAAATTGATTACCATCAATTGAAGATTCATCTCTGAACCATTGATCAAAACGATGAAAATTTCGAATCCATCCCATTGATTGATTTTCAAAAGTTGACGTATGATTGTACCGCAGGTCGCCAATCAATAATTTTAATTCTTAAGAACTTCCTTACGAAAAGTTGTTAATGCTGCCTTTCAAAGCTCCTTTCGTAAAAATTCATGACAATTCAACATTCATATCTTCGCTCTTTGACTTGATGTTTTTCTGTAAATTTCTTTCCGGAATTGGCACATGGTTTTGTCAAAGTTCACAAGTTCAGATTGAAAATGAGAATCTAGAAGGGTTGCTGTTAAAAATAAAATAGAAATTCTACCATCATTTGAGCTTCTGAAAAAGATTCATTTGAATATCCAGGATCCATTAACCAGAACGAGACGAGGTAAATTAGAAATGATTCATCTCTCATACGAGCAATGATGAACGATGAATGAGGCACTGATTGAAAATGAAAAATATCAAAAATCCAGGTATTTACATAACTTACCCTCGTAAGTTCACAATAATTTAACATCGGTCGTGATAAATTGCACCAAGTTAGAAGAGTAGATTGATGGAATGTAATTCACCGGACTGGATAAAGAGCCATTATTCGTTGAAGAGTAACTTTGAGAAAATAAATACTTTCCTTTTTCTTTGACTATCAATTCCTGATGATTTCGGCCAATATAAAATGAATCCTTTGGGTAAGGGAATTCACTCAAATTCGGTAATCAAAATTTCAGAAGCCCAATTAAGAAATGCCAGGATTACCTTTACAGAAATGTTATACTCCATAGGAAACAACAAATGAGGGGCTTTTTCGGATTTTTTTTTCAGCATTTTAAGAGAGCACTAACAATGAGAGAATGGTCACGGAATTTCGCCACATTGTAGTTTTTTGGTAAAATGATTATCGATTGATTAGGTCTCTTATCGATTGATTTGGTCGTTACAAGTATTCGAATCACCTTCGAAGTTTCCAAGCCCTTTGTTTCAATTCGTTTCCATTGAAAAAATCTACCACTACTACTACAGTGGCCACTACAACAACATGGATACACGGTAACACTAATTTATATGCCACCACCATCATTAACGCCACTACCAAAAAAAAAAAAAAAAAACAATCAATCATTCATTCACATATATATACATGCCATTCATTTCGATTAGGTCTATCATTCATATGTGCGTCTGGCCATTTGGACG